GCGCGCGCGCGATGGCCACGCCCAGCAGCCCGGCCACGCCCACGACCACGCCCCCCACGATGGCCGCGCCCACCAGCCCGTCTGGGGGGACGGACGGACAGGGGGACAGCGGGATGGACAGACGGACAGACGGACACCGGGACGGACAGGGGGACAGCGGGATGGACAGACGGACAGACGGACACAGGGATGGACAGGGGGACAGCGGGATGGACAGACGGACACCGAGGGACAGACGGACACCAAGGGACAGGGGGACAGCGGGATGGACAGACGGACACCGAGGGACAGACGGACACCGGGATGGACAGAGGGACACCGAGGGACAGGGGGACACCGGGATGGACAGAGGGACACAGGGATGGACAGGGGGACACCGAGGGACAGACGGACACAGGGATGGACAGGGGGACAGAGGGATGGACAGACGGACACCGAGGGACGGGGGGACACCGGGATGGACAGACGGACACCAAGGGACAGGGGGACACCGGGATGGACAGAGGGACACAGGGATGGACAGGGGGACACCGAGGGACAGACGGACACAGGGATGGACAGGGGGACAGCGGGATGGACAGACGGACACCGAGGGACAGATGGACACCGAGGGATGGGGGGACATCGGGATGGACAGACGGACACCGAGGGACAGGGGGACACCGGGATGGACAGGGGGACACAGGGATGGACAGGGGGATGGACAGAGGGACAGGGGGACACAGAGGGACAGAGGGACACCGAGGGACACGGGGAGGGACAGACGGACAGAGGGACAGGGGGACAGAGGGGACACGTCACTACTTGGGGGGACATTTGGCACCTCCGTGTCCCCTCAGTGTCACCCTCCCGTGTCCCCCCTTATCACACAGAGCCCCCAGTGTCCCCAATGTCCCCAATGTCCCCAGTGTCCCCAGTGTCCCCTGGATGTCACCAAGACCAATGTCCCCAATGTTCTTGCAATGTCCCCAGCCCCACAATCCCCCCAATGTCCCCAATGTCCCCAATGTCCCCAATGTCCCCACTGTCCCTAATCCCCCCACTGTCCCCACTGTCCCCAATGTCCCCATAACCCCCCCAATGTCCCCCCAGTGTCCCCCCTGTCCCCCCTGTCCCCTCACCTCTCCTCAGTTGGTTCCTGACGCGGCCCCGCAGCCGCTGCACCTGCGCGTTCTGCGGCTCGGCCGCCAGGAGGCGCTCCAGGAGCTCCAGCGAGCGCTCGTACTCCTGCGGGGACAGGGGTGGCACCTGGGTGTCACCTGGGTGTCACCTGGGTCACCTGGGTGTCACCTGGGTCACCTGTGTCACCCCCCTGTCCCCCCATCCCCCGCTCCAGGAGCTCCAGCGAGCGCTCGTACTCCTGCGGGGACAGGGGGGGCACCGGGGTGTCACCTGGGTGTCACCTGGGTCACCTCCCTGGGTCACCTGTGTCACCTGTGTCACCTGCGTCACCTCCACGTGTCACTTCTGTTACCTGTGTGACTCTCCTGTCACCTGTGTCCCCTCCCTGTCCCCCCATCCCTGCTCCAGGTGTCACCCCAGAGCTCTCTCGCCCCTGTGGGGACATTTGGGGACAGTCCCTGTGTCCCCCCAATGTCCCCAAAACCCCCCAAAACCCCAAAATGTCCCCATTGTCCCCAATGTCCCCAATCCCCCCAATGTCCCCAATCCCCCCAATGTCCCCAAATGTCCCCAATGTCCCCGATGTCCCCTCGTTGTCCCCTCGCTGTCCCGGTGCCACCTTGAGCCGGTAGTAGCCCAGGGCCAGGTAGAAGAGGACGTCGCGCTGCTCCTGCGGGGGCGTCTCGGGGAGCAGCTCTGGAACCCCAAAACCAGAGAGTCACCCCAAAAGTGACCCCGAAACTCCAGAGGCACCCCAAAAGTGACCCCAAAACCAGAGAGTCACCCCAAAAGTGACCCCGAAACTCCAGAGTCACCCCAAAAGTGACCCCAAAACCAGAGAGTCA